TTAGAGTGCAAAATAGAGCATCTAGATAAACTAATGTGTACATGCGCACAAGGAGCCTATTTGATGGACCTCAGAAAAGTTTTCTATAAATAACGTACCCAAGAAATAATTATTTTCTTAGTCACCATCTGGTTATAAGCTTAAGGTTGTTATTTGAGTCGGTCATTCAGGGTTATTTAGAGTGTATTTTTCAGGAAGATGATTTTTGCAAAGTTTATCAAAATGTGCATTGACAAGGTACGAATTTGGATTTTCTTTCCTTTTCATCGCACATTTTGATAAACTTTGCAAAAAGCAATCCATCATTTTCAGGAGTAGACGCTTTTTACACTCTCTCAACCGTCAGCCAATACAATTTACTTCTGCCGCCTTCTTATGCAGCGTGCTTGCTTTGTATTTGCTAGGCGTTGATTGTTTAGTACAGCAGGTGGTAGGAAAACCGTACGCTTTATTCGTTCTCTTTTTCTCTGTCGACATTCAGTTAGTCTAATAGCTTCTATTATTAGGCGTTATGTTTCCTTTCTAGTATACAAACTGAGAGAAAAATTCACTTATTTAAAATTTTCTTCCATTCGTCTGCAAAGAAGTTTAGTCTGGCAATTTCCGCCTCTCAGAATTCAAACAGCTGCTAATTGAAACCTCTTTTCTTCTCATTTTCTTTGGCAAAACAATTTGTCTGCTTCGTTAATTATTTGCCTTGTTTTGACGTCGCTAACTTTTACGTTTTTAGACGAAAAATGCCGAATTCAGTGGGAAAAAACCCTTTGCGAATCTTTTCCGCATGCTTCCTATCCTTTTTCCACCCCGAAAACTTAGTTATTTGCCTTCCTTATTCAACTTCGTCACGCATATCCTTGAAATTTATTTTTCTGTTTTTATGTTCAAGATATTTTTATCTTGATTTAAGTTTTAGATTTTAGATTGACTTCATAACTCAGTTTTGTTGGTATATCCCTGTGTCCGCTGATCTAGAATCTAAAAAGGTGAACTTCTTAAGCTGTTTTTAAAAAGTCTGAACTTCTAATTACGTTGTGCGTATGTTTGGAACATGTCTCTTCAGTTGCAGAATTGAGGCTCCAGACAAAAAGGCGGCATTTGTTTGATGTCTCACATTACACTTACCACATCCTGTCCGTCTTTTTGGTAGCCTCCCACGCGGACGTTCTTTTGGCTCGTCACGCAATCGTCTTCAGCGAACGACGTTCCTGGGGCAAGAACGCGTGACGAATCCCAAAGAACGTGTGCGTGGGAGCGGGGGGGGGGCTATCTTTTTTGAAGTTCATGTTGGCTGTGAAAGTTAAGAGTTTAGGGAAACCTTTTGTAAAGGACCAATAAGCAATGTTTGAATTCGGCTTTCGTAAGATATGAAGAATGCTGCAGATCGAGGACGGTGTTGTCGGCCGAGGTGGATAACACCCTCCGAGATCTGCAGAATTCTTCATATCCTACGAAAGCCGAATTCAATAATTGTTTTATTATTCCTTCAAAATAATTCCAAGTTTAGAAACAAGCTAAAACATGCTAACCTCGGTTGATGTAAGTTCATACCGATAATTCATCTTTATCGGGAAGTTTAGAAGATTAAGGTCTGCAAGGTCTTGCTGTTCTTGCGATGTTTTTAGACAATATTTCGCCGTGAAACGAGTTTAATGTTCCGCGTCAGTTCCGCTATTTTGTTTCAACTACCAAAACCACCCAACCTCGTTCCCTGGTTTTCTCGGTCAACGGTTCAATAACCTGCAACCAGGGTGCACTTTTGACGTCCGTTCAATATGACAAAATTCTTTCCAAATTTGGTCAACAGCAGCTGGTTATGGTGAATTATGCGTGTGGTTTTAACCAATCAGAAACGGGGAAATATTTTGAATGAATAATAACAAAATATAATCCTTATCTTGGGTCCAACTTGCGGTTTCATTTTGTCTTTTTAGATGACTGCTAACAGTCAGAACAGTGTAATATTTTTCTTCGAAGTTTTCCGATGATCTGCTCGCAGTTTGGGCTCCCAGTGTTGTTTTGTTTTTGTTTTGTTTCGTTCGTTGTTGTTGTTGTAGTTTTTCTCATATTTTGATTGATTCCACTAGTTTTATTTTTCCATCTGGCACCATTATGTTTTAACACGAACTCTACAAGCGATAGCCTGCGAAAACAGTCGTCTGTCCTCGCTCCCAGCGGCAAGGAACAAGGGGAGACGGCTGTTTTCGCGCTTTAAGCTTTATCGTGGATGAGGTTTGTATGATTTGAAGGATTTGGGTGTTCGAGGAGGGTGTTTCCCGCTTATATGTCGCTGATGTAACCTTTCCCTTTCACTCACACTTACATGGAAGTGTCTTCAAAGTTGTCCTAATGTCTTATTTTTCGCTTCTGATTCTTTCAGGTCCCTTTCAGAGAAGGAAAGGCCTTGTGGAAATAGCTACAATGTGGACGGATGAGAACTAACTATTCCTTGAACTCAATGCGGCTCAGGTTTTCTCAACTTCTTGGGTTGTAACCACTGAAG